TTTACATCGATCAAAAGAGAGCGTTTCCTAGGAATAAATATTTAAATGCAACTTTTGAACGGTATAAAGTGCACTACAGCATTTTAAGAAGTGTGATCTCTAGAAGGTAAACACATTTTCAGTTGCTTGTTGTCTTAAAATATTGACTATTTTCTTCAAAAGGTATGTAAATATATATATTTCTTAAACCTCCCAGGTCCTGGGTGGTCAGCTAAGGAAAAGAACAATATGGAAACAGATTTGGCCAAGGCCTTTACTGTTGATAGGCTCCAAACAGGAATATATTTCTTTCTGCTTCTGTTTTTACAGAAAGTTCTCATTCAACAACTGTTTGTTTAGTGACCATTTACAGTGAGGACATTTTCTCATAAGATGGGTCTGTCTCAATGCCATGCACAGAACCCAACTCCCGAGCGGAGGAACTGTCTTTTAAAAATGGACAAAGGATGTTGCTGGGAGATACAGAACAGGGTGAGACAGCATCCATAATTTCGTCCTCCAGGATAGAGATTGTTGGGTTTGAAAAGGGAAATGCTTTTATTGTTATTTCTCATTTGCTTTTTTTTTTTTAATTTGATTTATATGCTGCCCTTCTCCGGAGACTCAGGGCAGCTTACAATGCGTTAAGCAATAGCCTTCATACTTTTGTATATTTTATACAAAGTCAGCTTATTGCCCCCACAACTGGGTCCTCAATTTACCTACCTTAGAAAGGATGGAAGGCTGAGTCAACCTTGAGCCTGGCGAGATTCGAACCTGCAGTAATTGCAGGCAGCTGGTCTTAATAAGAGGGTGTTTTAGACCACTGTACTACCAAAGCCCTTTTGATGTACAGTGGTGGGATTCCACGGTTGTAACAACCAGGTCGCTTCGTGCGCCCTCTGGAGGCCGGAAATGGACCCGTTTCCGGACTTCAGGTAGGCCCGGTTTTCGCCCTCCCCAGGCTCCAGAGGCTTTCCTGGAGCCTCCAGGAGGGCGAAAACGGCCTCCCCTGGCACCGGAGGCCCTCCGGAGGCCGGAAACAGGCCCCTTTCCAGACTTCCGGTAGGCCTCCGTGTGTGCCCTGCACTTACTTGGCATCCAAAACAGGACGCGTGGAGATTCTTGGGAGGGGAGGAGCAGGGTGGGCGGGGTCAGCCAGTCCTTGGAACAACCGGTTCGCCGAACCAGATTAAAATTAACATCTGGTCCGAACTGCCTGAATCCCACCCCGGCCCTTATAGCTACATTGAAAAATCTTACTTTAATTCTGCTTATTCTGAGAATGTTATGAGTTTATAATTATTATATTATATATTGTTATATTATTATTCTAATTACAGTAATAGGATATTATTATATTCTAGTTCTGATCTGGAGGCTGAAACGTACGAAGAACAATTGCAGGAATTGGCTATAGCTGCTTTAATGAAAAGAAGGACCAGGGGTGACATGATGGCAGTCTTCCAATATTTGCTACAAAGACGAGGGGTTCAAGCTATTTTCCAAAGCGCTAAAAGGCAAGACAGGAAACAATAGATGGAAACTAACCAAGGAGAGAAGCAACCTAGAATTAAGGAGAAATTTCCTACCGGTGAGAACAACCAATTAGTAGAAGAGCTTGCCTTCAGAAGTTGTGGCTGCTCCATCACTGGAGGCTTTTAAGAAGAGATTGGGACAGGCATTTGCCTAAAATGGTGCAGACTAGTGATGGCTAACCTTTTTGCTGTCATGTGCCAAAAGTGGGGAGAGTGCGGGGGGTTTGCGCGTGTGCGTGCCGACACCCATAATTCAATGTGCCCTGCCCCCTGCACATATGTGCTTTACCCCCCCACGCTCCCCGCACATGCACGTGTTACCCTCCCCCACTTTTGGCACGCAATGGCACGGTGGGCCTGGTAGGCCCGTTTTTCGCCCTCCCCAGGCTCCAGAGGCTTTCTTGGAGCCTGGAGAGAGCAAAAACGGCTCCTCCCCACAGAGGCCCTTCAGAGGCTGGAAACAGCCTGTTTCCTGATTTCCGGTGGACCCAGAAGGGCCATTTTTCACTGTCCTAGAAAGTTTAGGAGCCTAAAAGAGGCTCTTAGAAAGCCTCTGGTGCCTGGGGAGGGCAAAAACGGCATTTCCCTCCCCCCCGGAGGCCCTCTGGAGGCCGGAAACAGCCCGTTTCGCGACTCCCGAAAATCAGGTGGCTGGCGCGTGCTGGAGCTGAGCTAGGACAACACTCATGTGCCCACAGATATGGCTCTGCGTGTCACCTGTGGCACGCGTGCCATAGGTTTGCCATCACAGGTGTAGACTGTCCTGATTGGGGTTGGACTAGATGACTTCCAAGTTTCTCCCAACTCTACTTTTCTATGTTCTAGTGATTTATAAAACAGAGGCCTATTTCCTGCTTGGTCCTTGTGACTGAACGTGTCTTGGGGGCAGTGGTGGGTTCCTCCCGGTTCGGTCCGGTTCAGCCAAGCCAGTAGCGGTGACGATACGACGTCACCGAACCGGTTCCACCCCCGCCCCCCCACCCACGTTATTCTTACCTTTTATTTGGTCCCACCCCCAATCTATTGCTGCCTCCTGAGTCCCAGCGGATGACTAGAGCGGGAAAAAAACTGTTTAAACTCTTGCCGCGGGGCTTCAAAGGGCCGTCCTACAGCTGATCAGTGTTAAAAGCAAACAAATGAGTCGGGTCGTAAGTGCGAGGACTGGTTGTAAGTGCGAGGACCTTCCAGAAATGACTCTGACCAGCTTGCCACGCCTGCCTAGTCACATGACCTCCAAGCCACACCCACAAAATAAGCCACGCCCATAGAACCAGTAGTAAAAAAAATTAGAACCTACCCCTGCTTGGGGGGGCGGGCAGGCCTAAATGACTCCCCCCCTCCCATCTGCCAAAGTGACATATTAGCCCTCTTCCAACCAGCAAGCTCAAGGGAATAAGCGATATAAATCAAGAATTCTCTGCGTGCAACCCTGTTGGGAATTGCCGATCTGAACACACAAAGAGAAATTCATCTCAGAAGACCAAAGGGACGTTCTGGGCACAGATCCTGGTTTGTTCAGAGGACACGTCTTGCCCGAAGGAGGACAAGTAACTTAGTTATGGACCAGTTTAAAATTAACCGGCTGAATACCACCTCTGGTTATAGACTTTCAAAACTTCTCCGGTTTTGGTTTTAAATAAATTCCACCACGAAAGAAGTAGAATAGTTCAATGGCAGAAAGTAACACCATTTCAGGCCATCTGGTGGCACTAAGGCTTCACGGAAAAGTGGTTTATGAGTTGGTTAAAAAAAACAACAACACCGTGGTCGGGAGAGAAGGTAGCTTGGTGATGGGCACCACAATCCTGGGAATGTCCTAACCAGGGGTGAAATGCTCCCGGTTCGGACCAGATCGCCCGATCCGGTAGCGATGGAGGCAGGTGGTTCGGAGAACCGGTAGCAAAAATCCCTGCTCCCCCCCCATGCCCAGCTGAGCTGCCCACCTCATCAGAGGCTTTTTTTTTTAACTTTTAAAAGCATTTTTTCTACAAGAACCAAAGAGGTTGTATGGTTGATGTTTTCTGAACATGGGTTTTCGATTGCAGATCTTTCATTACTCAAGCAGGTAACTTCAACACCTACTGTTCATCAGCTGTTCCACTAGTTGATTGAGGACAATTAACCAGAGGAACAGCTTGCCTTCAGAAGTCGCAGGTCCTCCATCCCTGGAGGTTTTAAAGAAGGGACTGGACAGTCACCTGTCGGAAACTCCTGCTTGAGCAGGGAGTTGGACTAGACCAGGGATCTGCAACCTTAAATACTCAAAGAACCATTTGGACTCGTTTCCCACAGAAAAGAAAACACCGGGATCCACAAAACCTGGGTGGGCGTGGCCAACTCAATGTCACTCACTTCCACCAGTCACATGACCCCCCCTAGCCACGCCTACACAGCCAGTCATTAGGGCAGAGAACCAGTTGTTAAAAAACACCAGGAAACCACAAAATCCTTTTGACGTATCTCTCTCTCCCCTCCCTCCCCCCTCTCTCTGTATCTATGTCTCTCTCTATCTCTCTCTCTCTCCCCCTCTCTCTGTATCTCTCTGTGTCTCTCTCTCTCTCCCTCTCTGTATCTCTCTGTGTCTCTCTCTCTCTCCCTCTCTCTGTATCTCTGTGTCTCTCTCCCCCTCTCTCTGTATCTGTGTCTCTCTCTCTCTCCCCCTCTCTCTGTATCTCTCTCTCTCTCCCCCTCTCTCTGTATCTCTCTATGTCTCTCCCTCTCCCTCTCTCTGTATCTCTCTGTCTCTCTCCCCCCTCTCTCTGTATCTCTCTATGTCTCTCTCTCTCCCCCTCTCTGTATCTCTCTCTCTCTCTCTCCCCCTCTCTCTGTATCTCTCTATGTCTCTCTCTCTCCCTCTCTCTGTATCTCTCTGTGTCTCTCTCCCCCTCTCTCTGTATCTCTCTATGTCTCTCTCTCTCCCCCTCTCTCTGTATCTCTCTATCTCTCTCTCCCCCTCTCTCTGTATCTCTCTATGTCTCTCTCTCCCTCTCTCTGTATCTCTCTATGTCTCTCTCTCTCCCCTCTCTCTGTATCTCTCTATCTCTCTCTCTTCCCCTCTCTCTGTATCTCTCTATGTCTCTCCCTCTCTCCCTCTCTCTGTATCTCTCTATGTCTCTCTCTCTCCCCCTCTCTCTGTATCTCTCTATCTCTCTCTCTCCCCCTCTCTCTGTATCTCTCTATGTCTCTCCCTCTCTCCCTCTCTCTGTATCTCTCTGTCTCTGCCCTGGCCGCATGAATTGTGTCAGATCAAGAGTTTGGTGGAACAAAGAGAGAACGTGGGTCTTCCTTTAGCAATGTGCAGTCAACCGAAGGAAGACAACTGGTTGAGGCACTTTTTACGGGAGTCTCTTGAGTCAAAAAGAGGATCATGAGTTGCCTGCTTCAAAAACAGACCCGGACTATCAGGTTACTCTGATACGCACAAGATACCAAGAAGCAAAACTCTTAACATTACCTACGGATTAGGTTACGTTCCAGCCTCACCTTCCCAGTCCTTGTTGGTCGCAATTTGGATTCATGGTCAGCATCTTGACTCGTGGTCAACCATTTCCTTGCTGCAAAGAAGGAAAGAAGATGGGTAGATATGTATTCTTTAAGCAGATGACACTCGGTGTGCATTCCCACGAACACTTATTCCTAACTACACTCCTATGTACCATGTTCTTTCTCAGACACCCATTTTGTAATATCTAGATCAGGGGTTGGCAACTTTAAACACTCAAAGAGCCATTTCTTTTTCCACAGAAAAGAAAACACCGGGAGCCACAAAACCCTTCCTGTGCCTGACTATTTCCTGAGTGGCCACAGAACCAGCATATGTAGTTGAATTAAACATTCTGTTTTCTTCTGAAACTTTTTTTTTCTTGGATTTATCCGTAGTTGGCCTACCGGGGGTGCAAAAGCTCAATAAATTGTGTGCTGGCGAGTATCTTGCAAATATTTGTATTTACCACATTTACCACCTTAATTTTTGGGGAGGAAAATAGGAGGGGGGAAATTCTGCCTACCAGGTATTCATCTGGCTAACGTCTTTAGCCTGGTCAGCTTCACATTAGTTTGCTCGCTGGTTTTGAGGTTGGGGCTGCTTGGGGCTAAAAAACAGTTTCTAAAGCACAGCTGATCGTCGGAGGGAGCAGCAATTAGAAAAGCAGGCAAAGCACGGAAGATCGCTTCGCTCGCGTTGGGGCTGAAAAACAGCTTCTAAAGCACAGCTGATCATCGGAGAGAGCAGCAATTAGAAAAGCAGGCAAAGCACAGAAGATCGCCTCGCTCATGTTGGGGGTGACAAAAAGCTTCAAAAGCACAGCTGATTGTCAGAGGGAGCTCCAGTGACTAAAGCAGGCGAAGTGCGGAAGGGGTGAGAGAAGGCAGCAGCTGTTCTGCGTAGCCATTTTGGGCACTGTGCGTCACATTTTCAGCCTCCAAATGCGTCATGTTTTCAGGCGGTGATTGGCAGCAATGTGCTTTGGCGATCCCCGCAGCCTTATAATCAAATATTTTCTTTGCTAATTTTTTTCTGGCAGGATACCCAATAGGAACAGTTCTGGTTTTAAATCAATACGTTGTATCATTTCTTCCAACCATGTCTTGATTTTATTTCAATAGTTTTTAGCTTCTGGACATGTCCACCATATATGGTAATAAGAACCTGGTAACTGGTGACATTTCCAACATTTAGCTGATTTATCTTTAAACATTTTTGCCAGTTTCTCAAGAGGCATATGCCATCTATAAAACATTTTATATTGATTTTCCTTATTTATTTTATTTATTTATTTATTTATTTTATTTCTATACCGCCGTTCTCCCGAAGGACTCAGGGCGGTGTACAGCCTGATTAAAAGCACAAGACAAAACAAAATTTAAAATTATTAAATGATAGGCTCAATTATAAAACCCCAAATTTAAATCCCATTTTAAAAACCAATTAAAATCTTTACATTGATAGCCCAGCCTGGCGGAACAACAAGGTTTTGAGGGCACAGCGAAATACACGGAAATCAGAGATTTTATGAATTTCTGGGGGCAGTTCATTCCAAAGGGCAGGGGCTCCCACAGAGAAGGCCCTCCCCTGGGTGTCGCCAGCCAACATTATTTGGCCGATGGCACCCTGAGGAGACCCTCTCTGTTGGAGTGAACTGGCCGGTGGGAAGCTACTGGTGGCAGAAGATGGTCTCGAAGGTATCCAGGTCCAATGCCATGGAGCGCTTTAAAGGTGGTAACCAACACCTTGAATTGCACCCGGAAAACCACTGGGAGCCAGTGCAGCTCACGCAGGAGGGGCGTCACATGGGCACAAGTTGCAGCTGCATTCTGGACCAGCTGGAGCCTCCGGGTGCTTTCAAGGGGAGCCCCATGTAGAGAGCATTTCAGTAGTCCAGTCGGGAGGTGACAAGGGCTTGAGTGACCGTGCGCAAGGCATCGCGATCCAGAAAGGGCTGCCACTGGCGGATCAGGCGAACCTGATAAATAGCCCCCCTGGCCACGGCAGTCATATGTTCTTCTAAAGACAGCCATGCGTCCAGGAGGACGCCCAGATTGCGAGCCCTCTCTGTGGGGGGCAAAGACTCATCCCCAATAGTCAGCGATGGCGCCAGCTGACTATATCGCGACGCCGGGAACCACAGCCACTCAGTCTTGGAGGGGTTGAGTCTGAGCCTATTTCTCCCCATCCAGACCCGCACGGCCTCCAGTCAGCAAGACATCACATCAAGGGCATCATTGGGGTGGTCTGGGGTGGAGATGTACATGCAGTGGACATTGTTAGTTTATAATTCCTTTCCCATAACTGTTGCAATTTATCTAAATCTATTGAATATCCAAAATTCTTTGCCCAGGCTATCACTGTTTCCTTTACTTGCTCCTCCTCCAGTTCAATGCCAAGTAAAAAATTATAGATTTTAAAAATTAATTTATCCACTGTTCCTGTGAGTATCCTATCCAGCTCTGTGTTTTCTAAGTGAAAACCATATAATTTAGCATCTTTTTTATATCTTGTTTGTATCTGCATGTACATATACCAATCCATCTCAATCCCCTATGGACTAAGTTACATTCCAGCCTCCCCTTCCCAATCCTTGTTGGTCAGAATTTGGATTCATGGTCAGCATCTTGACTCGTGATCAACCATTTCCTTGCTGCAAAGAAGGAAAGAAGATCAGGGATGGTCATTTCAAGGTCTCTTTGCAACAGCTTCGGCTGTTAATTTAAAAACAGAGGAGACATTGCTAGTTGGTTTGCCCAGGGGTGCATAAAAATTCCTTCGCTTTGACCGTCAAGATTAATTAAAAGGTTTTTCTTTTAATTCATCTTGGACAAATCATCATGGGATTTTGCTTTTATGCATAATGCAGAAAGTCCTCGCCTTAGGACCTGTGATGACCCGGGGCGTGGCACAAAAGCAACACAGCCAGAGAACTTTTATTGGCACTTTTATTGGAATTTTTTAGTGGCACCAACTTTGCCCCCAATGTCCCGTTTACTCTCCCGCCTGGAGAAAAACTCTCCCACAAACCTGCAGCAGCTTCTGTCCGCAGATACTCCAGTCCAAATGCTGCAAGCAGAATGACTGCAAATCAATCACTCCAGCAGGGCAAGATAAGGAGTCCCAGAAGGGAAGTATCACGGCAATAATTCCAGCAAGACAGGATAAGCACACAGAAGCACGGCAATAATTCAAACAGTCAGGAGGAATGCCAGGAATGCTGGCCACAACTCTCAACACTAGATGAATTCAGCTTTTGTTCCAGACGAACGCCCCTCCCAACTGCCTCTCCTTTAAACTCCATCCCCAGGTGTGCCTTGTGAATGGAATCAGGGCCCTTTCCTTCCGCGTAAGCCACGCAACCCACATTGCTCTCTTCTGCGTTCTTCCCTGCATGCCCTAGGATAAGAAATCTAAATTTTGTTGCTATTGGTTCTGTGGGCGTGGCTTAATTAGTGGGCGTGGCTTGGTGGTAAGGTGACTGGGTGGGCGTGGCCAAGTCAATGTCACTTCTTTGCCCTTTTTTAACCTACAAAACACAACACAACACAACTGGCTCACCCACAATGTAAAAGCAGCTGTGCTTGACCCAAAATGGCCCCGCAACAAGCAGGAACCTCACACAGCCACAAAAAGCCCCAAAAAACCAACTTTCACACTTTACACACACAAAATTCCACATACAGCTTTGTGAGATTTTGTGTGTTTGTGTAGTTAGAGTGAAACACTACAGAAACACACTAAATCTCAGAAAGTTGCACAAATATTATTTTGTTTTAATTTATTTTTATTTTTATATAAAAGCAGCTAAATTTAAAACTTCCTAAACTTTAAATGGCTAGGTCTAAAAAAAGAACAACTAAAAAAAATTCCAATTAACTATTTTTTTTAAAGTTTCCAAAGGGGGAAAAAACTTACCCAATAGAACAGGGGTCTCCAACCTTAGCAACTTTAAGACTTGTGGACTTCAACTCCCAGAATTCTTCAGCCAGCTTTGCTGGGAATTGAAGTCCACAAGTCTTAAAGTTGCAGATAGAGCTGCTCACCGATGAGCTTGATTGCAGGCAGGGAGATTCAGTTGCTTGCTGATGCAATGGATTGCAGGTATTACAGCAAGCGAAGCAAGGCAGGCGTTGCGACCAGCAGCTAAAGTAAGCAAGCTGGAGGCTGGGGGTGGGAGGGGGGGGAGAAAAAAAGAAACTTTTTTTCTTTTAAATGGGTCTGACAATCCAAGCTGAGTTGCCTGATTAGCAGGCAACCCAGCTGGGATTGTCAGAGCTGGGATCGTCAGAGCCATTTAAAAGGAAAAAAAGGCTCTGATGATCGCGCGGCTCAGCTGGGCATGGGGGGTGGGAGGCAGGGATTTTTGCTACCGGTTCTCTGAACTGCCCGCCGCTATCTACTCACCCGAGCCGGTCCGAACCAGGAGCATTTCACCCCTGGATGAGAAGGGGGTGGGCCTTGGTCTTCATCTGAACCCCCCTCTCCCTTGTTCTACCTCTCTCCTGCTCTGCCCAGCCTGACTTCGCCCTTCCCCAGTTTCCTCCACAGCCAATTCCATCTCAGATTCAGACTCTGACAGGGGCATGACAGGACCACAATTGAGCCCAACGTTTCTGTTGTTAAGTGAAAGATTTGTTAAGTGAGTTTTGCCCCATTTTACGACTCTTCTTGCCACAGTTGTTAAGCGAATCACTGAAGTTGGTAAGTTAGCAACCCGGTTGTTAAGGGAATCTGGCTTCCCATTGACTTTGATGGGTCAGAAGGTTGCAAAAGGAAATCATGTGACCCCCGGGACACTGCGACTGTCATAAATATGAACCAGTGTCCAAGCATTTGAATTTTGATTATGTAACTGCGGGGGATGCGCACAACGGTCGTAAGTGTGAAAAACGATCATAAGTCACTTTTTTTTTCAATCCCATTGTAACTTCAAACGGTCACTAAATGAATTTGAGGATTGCCTATAACTGCACCGACGTTATTGTATGCGCAAAGATGGGAGGATTTAGTATTATCCTCAGTGGGTGAAGATGCTGGAATTTGCTGAGGTGGCAAAATTGAACCCAG